GTCGAAAGGCCTTGTCGTCTGCAGTTTTAAGACGTGCGCGAACTGCGATTGAACTTGAAGTGCATCCAGCGTCTTTTCTTGTCCGGATGCAGGCTGAGGGTGTGGCATAAAGCTGACGGAGCCACGCTGGGGCTCATACGGGGCAAAGGTAGGCCGTTGCTGTTGGTTTCCACGTGCGTAGGATGAACCATCTAGGCTCATTGGTGTTGCGTTGTTGTTGCTGTTGTTTGACTGTGCAGGTGCCCCTTGCTGGTGCTGTTCGTAGAAGGACATGAAGGAGAAAAACTTCTCCATCATGTCTGGATCGAAGGCCGCGGCTTGATTTGCGGGAGTTTCCGAAGATGATGCCCTTGGTCTTGTTGCCGTACCCTCCTCTGTCTGTAGGCCAGAGGCAGGAGGTGGAGTAGGAGTAGTGCCAGGAGAGCCGTTGGAGGAGCTTCTCTCCTTCTGCGTTGCCATGTCTTGCGATGTTGTAGATGTCTTGTTTGTAGTCGAATTTGCCCTGACTGCTCTCATACCATGTTGGGCTGAGAAGGCCCTTTAGGATCTTTGCAGGGCAGAACTCAAGAGTAAAGTGATGTAATAGCGGAAGCTTTGTAATAAATATTGTGAACCACCTTGCGCTGGTATGTGAGAGCAAAGTAAGTTGATAATAACAAAAACATACAAGCTTTTTATATGATTACAAGGAATATGAAAAGGTTCTATTTTTAACTGTTTTGCTGTTGCGGTTCGATACAGTGCCGACTCGGGTAACTGTTCTGTAACGAATCAGTTATATGTCCTTGCTGTCGCACTGTACATTTTGTCAGGTCAAAGGTCGGGGACCTTTGACCTTCGCGCAACTCCTGTGCAGCCATAGCTCCAGCGTAGATCTCGGCCTGAACAGTAGAGGTCGAGACTGAGGAGGAACGTGTGGACCTCCACGAAACAGCTCCAGAGCCTAGGCTGAAACAGTACCCCTGAGTAGACCTGTGCGTCTCGGCGTCGTCAGCGTAAGAAGAGTCACAGTGACCAGTAAGTACGACGTCCTGTCTCCCTCCAAGAATCAGCCTCACGCCTGATGTCGTCGCTAGGTACTTCGCCACCCTCACAGCAGCTGTCGAGTGAACTAGACGGTGTCTCCCTGGCGCAACAAAACGAGCAAGGATGCTGAGAGGGAAGGCGAGGTCCGGGTGAGTACAAGTCATCAGGTACATGAGGCAGCCCACAAGCTCTGTGTAAGGACCACTATTCTCGAACGGCTCGTCAGGAAAGGGTCCGATGAGTCTGTGGTCAACGGCAAGAGGTGTGCGCTGTACAGTAGAGTGCTGAAGCTTGAACCGCTGAAGGACCTGCTGCACCATGTGTAACTGTGAGAGTGTAATGGTGCAAGCGGCTCTGTCCCTGGTGATATGCAGGCCAAGGTAGTGGCGAAGCTCACCAAGGTCAGTGCAAGTGTGTCTCTTCTGCGGTTCGAGCTTCACGTCAGCCAAAGCAACCCTGTAAGCAGTGGCGAAAACCAGGTCGTCTACGTAGACCAGTACAAAGAACGGTGTGGAGCCACAACGAACGAACAGCGACGGGTCGGCAGAAGAAGGCTGGAAACCAAGGTCAGAAAGGGTAGAGTGAAGGGTGTCGTGCCACTCACGAGGAGCCTGACGGAGACCGTAGACCGGTCCCCTAAGCCTCCACTGGGTCCCAGGAGGGAAAGTGCCAGTGAAGGCAGAAGGACGAGGTAACCAGACCTCCTCGTGTAGGCTACCTCAAAGGAAAGCAGTGGAGAAGTCAAGAGAGTGTAACTCGTAGTCTCTCTGTGCTGCTACGTGCAGTAACACCCGAAGAGTGGTCATCTTCGGGGTAGGTGCGAAGGTCTGAAAGAAGTCAACTCCCTCACGCTGACCAAAACCTCTGGCCACATAGCGCGCCTTCAAGACCGGAGGAGATCCCGGTGGCCGCTTCACCCTGAAGATCCACATGCCATCGACTACGTTCACCCCACGGGGGGGAACCTCGTCGACGTAGGTGCCTGTGGATCTGTAGGAGGCCATCTCTGAGTCCATGGCAGCTCTCCACTAAGAGGCCAAAGGCCCTGACATTGCCTCTGCGTAAGTGCGACGAGTCGGTATGTCAAGGGCGATAGGGTCTCCCTCAGGGGCGAGCAGCATGGCACAGAGATGAGGGGAAGCGGCTGCCAGGAACTCTAGCTCAAACTGCCTGTCCTCTAGGGCGTCACAGCCAAGGGAAGACTCACCCCCGACGACCAGAGGACTAGTAGGAGGAGTAGCCACAAGATTGGTGGCGCAGTCAAGGCAGCGAGTAGAGGCAAACTCAGTGACTACGGCAGTAAGAGCGGAGACAGAGGACAAAGAAGCACGTGGATTGGTAACAAGAGAGGCAAGAACACGAGAGAGAACATGATGGTATGTGTGGTGGTAGTCTGTGACAAGAGTAGAGAGGGAAGCAGTGAGAGTCGACTCAGGAGGAGAAGGAAGTACAGAAGGAGAAGAACGAGGTGGACTAGAACAAAACAGAGCAGTACGAAGGTCAGTGAAGGGAACAGGGGATGAGGGACGAGCACAAGGAGAGCGTCGCAAAGGTCAAGTGTGAGAAAGAGGAGGGGAGAACGGGGGCAAAGGAGGAGGGAAAACAGCTAGGGAGGGGTCAAGGGGAGGAAGCGGAGGACCAGAGACGGGAGGAGAGGGTGGAGAGGGAGGAGAAGGAGAGGGAAGACCGAGGGTCCGAAGACCAGAGACAGGAGGAGGAGGTGGCTGTTGCTGCTGCTCCTGCTGCGCCTGCGACCGCTGCTCCTCCAACTACGGCGGTTGCTGCTCCTGCTGCGGCTGCTGCTGCGGCTGCTCTTGCTCCGGCTATTGCTGCTGCTGCTGCTCCTCCAGCCGCTGTAGCTCCAGCTCCTGCCGCTCCAACTCTCTCTCCTCTCGCTCCAACTCCAGCTGCTCCTCACGGGCATGGCGAACACGGGCCTGGTGCCGGGTCGGGTAGGGGTGGGGGGGAGGAGTAGTGTCCGGAGCGGTGGTAGCCCCAGGACTGCTCTCCAAAGAACCAGTCACACCACCCCTAGAGCCACAACCACCAGAAGTAACAGGGTCTGTCCCAGGCTCTCCAGGTCCAGCAAAGGGCGCACCCCCAGACGTAGCACCCCCAGGGACAGCTCCACTAATACCAGCTCCTCGAAGACTAGAGTCTCTTGCAGTCACGGGCTCAGCTCCAAGTCCAGCACCCCCAGAACCAGGACCTTGCACAGGTACGCTCTCTGCTCCAACTCTAGCACCTCTAGAGCTAGCACCTCCAGGGTCCTCGCCATGAAAACCGGCTCCCGCAAGGTCTGCTGTAGGCTGGGAGGAGGACTGTGGGGAGGGAGGCTGCACCTGAGGGGCTACCGAGGGGGGAGGGGTAGCGAGGGACACACCTGACGGGCCGGGACCAAGGGGGGGAGGCTGTACCGGGGGAGCAGGAGGGGGAGCTGAAGTCAGGAAGAGAGGGGGAGGAGGAACCGGGAGACCTCGACAGGGGTACCTGACGTAGTAGGGGACGGACTCGTCGAAACTGACGTCACGAGAGTAAAAAAAATCGGTGAAGGGGAGGGTGGTAGAAGGTGTAGTCAGAGGAGTCCTCAGGGAAACCAAGGAACACGCAGGGAATAGCGCGAGGCGAGATCTTGTCTGCGGAGGTGTCGCGAACAAGTGCCAAGCAACCCCAGACACGAAAACGCGACGCAGCACCAGGGGACCCGGTCCAAAGACTGGTCGGTGAAGCCTCTGGCCGAGAGACATGTGGCCAGAGATTCAGCTGGTGAGCGGCGTACCGAACTGCGTAGGGCCACAGAAAACGGGGGGCACGAGCGATCTCCATGACCAAGCCTATGCGGCGCTCAGCAACCCCATTCTGCCGTGGGGACTCGAAGCGTCCAGGACTGACGGATGCCCTGCTCGCGACAGAATCCAGCGAGAACGCAAGAGCGAAACTCACCCCCGCGATCGGAGTGAAGACAGCTGACACGACGACCACGAGTGTCCGCAGTGGTAAGCAACCACCGGATCAGCGTAGAAGTCATGCCGGACTTCTTCGCCAGGGGGAACACTGTGGTGTAGCGGGAGTAGTCGTCAACGACTACGAGAAAGAAACTCTCTTGCTCAGGGCCAGGGCGCAAGGCAGGGCCCCAGACGTCCAAGTGGAGAGTCTCGAAGGGCTCGGTGGCCGAACGAAGGGAGGAGGAGTGAGGGGTGGTGCGCAGCCGACCCTCGACGCATGGACCGCAGGGTGGCGCAAGCGAAGGCGGCAACGACGGCAAGACAAGCATTTTACATTCACTCTGCTATTGAGGTCAAGGGCCCACCACCACTACTCAGACGTGTGCAAACCTTCTTGAGGTGATCCTAGGGACGATCAACATCTGATCGCAGCACTTGTCATACCACCGTGACAGGTGCACCAGCAATAAGTATTACAATCAGAAATACCGTAAGATAACCCACTGCAATTTGTACAGTAGTTGTTACATGTCTTGAACCAGCCTGCTGCTACCGTCCCTATCCCCTCTCCCTTGCACTTCCCCAGGCAAGGGGAACCGGCTACTCCGCACAATCTCCCAGAACAGCAACTCATTCCAAGCATCGGACCAGGCCCCCAGAAGTCAGAGAAATTTCTCTGATTTGCCAAAGAAACTCTGATATTTCAGCCTTTTTTCGAAGTGAACTCTGAAAATTCAGCCTTTTTTTTAGAAAAACCAGGAAAAATGCGATTTTTTCTAGTGTGCAGTGGTATTTCTGCAGGAAAAACTCTGATTTTCAGAGTTAAGTCATGTACCAACTCTGAATTTTCAGACTAGCCCAAAACCAATTGAAGGGCCTGCATCGGACACACCCGGCAGGCACCAGTGCATGCAGTCCTGCTGCCTTGGGGCCTTGCCGTCCTTGTCATACCGTATCACTGGGACAGGTGCACCAGCAATTTGCAATCCTGTACAAGTAAGAATCGTACCGTGATTTATACAATCTTTGCTACATGTCTTGAATCATACTGCTGTTGCTACCACCCCTATCCCCTCTCTCTCCCGCTTCCCCAGGCAAGGGGAACCGGCCACTCCTCACGATCTCCCAGAACAGCAACTCATTCCAAGCATCAGGCACACCCGGCAGGCACCAATGCACACAATCCTGCTGCCCCGGGGCCTTGCCGTCCTTGTCATACCACCGGGACAGGTGTGCCTCGGGGCGCAGGGCAGACAGCGCGGTGATGTTCAGCAGCCGCACTGCCGTGCCCTCCACTGCTGCCTCCGCGTTCCAATCCCGCGACTGGAAATGCAGCCGGTCGGTCTCCTCCTGAGTCAACATGCTCTGGGGAAGGAGGGAGGGGGGTTGGGAGAGAGAGAGAGATGGGCGAAGAATGTGGAACGTGAGAGGGAGAGGGAAGGGCGGCAGGAGACAGCAGCAGAAGTCCTGACGCCCCAAAGCCTCGCCGTCCTTGTCATACCACTGGGACAGGTGTGCCTCGGGGAGAGTTAGGACTGTTGGATCTAGGTCGAATCTATTTTTCATGGCAGACAGCGCCATGATGTTCAGCAGCCGCACTGCTGTCCCTTCCACTGCTGCCCCCCCGTTCAAATCCCGCGACTGGGAATATAATCGATAAATTTGCTCCTGAGTCAGCATGCTCTGGGGGGTTTGCGCAAGGGGTTTCAGGGTTGGGGGTTTGGTTCTGGGGGGCGGGGGGTGGGAGCTGATTTGCTCAACCGTGCCGTCCACTGCTGGATTTGAATGCGGAGGCAGCAGGGGGTTTGGTTCTGGGGGTTGGGGAGTGGGAGCAGGCGCACTGACATGCCCTCCACTGCTGCCTCCGCCTTCAAATCCCGCGACTGGAAATAGAGCTGATTTGCTTGCTCCTGAGTCAGCATGCTCAGCAGAAATTCAGTGTTTGGGTTTCAGGGTTTGGATTGTGGGGGTTGAAACAGAGATTGGAGCCTGGGCAGTTTTAGCAGGCACATGGCTGTGCGGGGCACTGCCACCTCGGCATTCAAAATCTTGGTGATTGGAGAAAAAGCCGTGTCCGGTGGCTGCTGATGCAGCATGCTGTGCAGGGGAATATAGGGTATAAAGGTTGTTGGCAAGGACAGACAAGTGAGAGCCCCCCACCTGTTCAGCACTGCTCATCCATGGAATGCACTCTGTTAAATCAGCAAGAAACTCCCACCTTTCTGTTTCTGCTCTAAGCAACACTACCGTGCCCACAACTCTAAATAGCACGAGAAAACCTGGAAAACCCTGAACAACCCTACCCCCTCACCTGCAGCTTGTCACACCCCCCGCCAGTGTTCCACTGCCCATCCATGAAATGCGCCGGCGACCGCGTCACCAGCAGAGCCAACGGCAGCGCCCGCTCTTCCCCCTCTCCCTCTGCACCCTCCCTCCTCTCCCCTTCCCGCATGGCAGCCAATCGCCGCCTCTCCCGCTCCTCGGATATCTCCTGCAGGTGGCGGTGCACCCACATGGCGGAGGAGCGCAGCACGGTGCGCATGGGCACGTTGAAGTTGCCCTCCATCTGCTTGTGGGTGTCTGGAGGGACTGGCAACCCGCCCAGGTGGAACTGCCACCGGTACTCCTGCATCTTGTTGCTGGGGGCGGAAGGGAGGGCGGGAAATGGGGGGATGGGGGACAGGAGGAATGAGGGCGTGGGAGGGGATGCACGGGCAGCACGGTACGCATGGGCACGTTGAAAACGCCCTCCATCTCCTTGTGTGTGACTGGAGGGACTGGCAGCAATCCCATATGGAAATGCCACCCGTACTCCTGCATCTTGTTGCTGGGGGGAGGGAGGGAGGGAGTGGAAGAGGGGGGGAAGATACTGAACCTCTCCTCTCTCCCTGTCCTCTCCCTCTCCTCGGCAATGGCCTGAGCCATGGCCTCACTTGAAGGTCCTTCAAGCTCTCGCAAGAAACCGTCCGAAATGAGTGCAGAGGCGACTTCCGTCGCAATCCGTTTTAGGCCGTTGAAGGAAGGCGAGACTTCTGTCGGGTCCGTCAGAGACAACAAGGTTTTGCTCCACGCTAGTGACAAACCGGAGAGCAATGTTATCAAAGAATACACATTCGGTAAGTTTCTCGCGAGTTGCGTTCTTTTCAAGTATGCCCTTTGTCAGGCAAGTACCTGACATCCGGAAACCCGTGTGATCTGTTTCAGATCACGCCTTCAATGAGAGTTGTGCTTCAAAAAATGTTTTCGACAAGAGCGTGCGACACATTGTTACAGCTGCTCTCCAAAGCATCGACAGTTAGTCGCATTGCATCTCGAGTCCCATTTGATTGCCAATCACACGATTTATAGGATTGTCAATTAGCTTGAGTTATCACAGCATGTTGACTGCATCATCGTGGACTCTCCAGGTACCCTTCTCGCTTATGGTCAAGCGAGCAGCGACAAGACTTTTACCATGAAGGAAGATGTCATCCCTCTCTGCATCCGACAGGTGTTCGGCCACATTGAGAGCGAGGTAGAAAATCAACATCACAGCCTCACGACAGCTCAGAAATGCGTGAGGGCGTAAAAGTATTGTCGCTGCTTGTTTGACCATAAGCGAGAAGGGTACCTGGAGAGTTCACGATGATGCAGTCAACATGCTGTGACAACTCAAGCCAATTGACAATCCTAAAAATCGTGTGATTGGCAATCAAATGGGACTCGAGATGCAATGCGACTAACTGTCGATGCTTTGGAGAGCAGCTGTAACAATGTGTCGCGCGCTCTTGTCGAAAACATTTTTTGAAGCACAACTCTCATTGAAGGCGTGATCTGAAACAGATCACACGGGTTTCCGGATGTCAGGTACTTGCCTGACAAAGGGCATACTTGAAAAGAACGCAACTCGCGAGAAACTTACCGAATGTGTATTCTTTGATAACATTGCTCTCCGGTTTGTCACTAGCGTGGAGCAAAACCTTGTTGTCTCTGACGGACCCGACAGAAGTCTCGCCTTTTCCTTCAACGGCCTAAAACGGATTGCGACGGAAGTCGCCTCTGCACTCATTTCGGACGGTTTCTTGCGAGAGAGCTTGAAGGACCTTCAAGTGAGAGCTTTCTCCTTGAGCCATGGCCTGCAGCTGCCGGTGAGCGCACATGGCAAAAGAGCGCAGCACGGTGCGCATGGGCACGTTGAAGTTGCCCTCCATCTCCTTGTGAGTCTCTGGCGGAACAGGGATGCCGCCTAGGTGACAGTGCCACTGCATCTTGTTACTGAAGGGGGGAGGGAGGGAGTGGAAGAGGGGAGGAAGATACTGAAAACATTCTCCCCACTCTCCCTACTCCCCCCCTCCCTCTCCTCGGCTATCTCCTGCAGCTGCTGGTGAGCGCACATGGCAGAAGAGCGCAGCACGGTGCGCATGGGCACGTTGAAATCGCCCTCCATCTGCTTGTGAGTCTCTGGCGGAACAGGGATGCCGCCTAGGTGGAACTGCCATCCATATTCTTGCATCTTGTTGCTGGGTGAAGGGGGGGGGGGAAGGGCTTGGGAATGCAGGAATGGGGAGACAAGTGGAGAGAAAACGATGTGTAACGACAATGTATAATAACTCGTCCTCTGTACACTTCTTGTGCACCCTTTCTTCGTTATAAGTACAGATTTCAATACATACATGTCCTAGCAATATAATTACATACATCTCCACTCACATGGCCTGTTACCACTATAATCACACCCATCTCCACTCATAGGTTCCTTCCAGTGGTGCCCTGTGTTCATTATAATCACATCCAGCTCCTCCATACGCAGCCTCAAGACACCAGCCAGCCAGTACCACACCGCAATACCTCTCCCCCCCTTTAAAGTCAAATCCCCCGTCACTCACATGTTCCAGTGGTGCCCCGTGTTCATTATAATCACATCCATCTCCTCCATATGCTGCCTCAGAAACTCATCCGGTTGGTCCAGGTGGGCCGCCTGTCCTGCTGACTCGTTCGCCCAATCCTTGCGCGCCACGTGGCACAGCGACGTGGTCCACTTGAGCAGCACCGTGGTGTTGGTTTCGGGGAAACGGTAAGCTGAGCCCTGCAGTAAGAGTGAGTACACAGGGTGGAGAGAGAGAGATCAACACACACTCACACCCATCAAACACAGGCACATACACCCATCAAACACAGGCACATACACCCATCAAACACAGGCACATACACCCATCAAACACTTCAGCAGAACTGTTGTGTTGGTTTCTGGAAAACGGAAGGCAGAGCCCTGCAGTGAGTGGAAGCATAGATGGTAGAGAGAGAGAGAGAGAGAGAGAGAGAGAGAGAGAGAGAGAGAGAGAGAGAGAGAGAGAGAGAGAGAGAGAGAGAGAGAGAGAGAGGGAGAGAGAGACTCCCTTAGCCCTCTGCCCTCTGCCTCATCCCTCTGCCCTCTGCTCTCCAGAGCCTTTTAAGGGCTGGTTTGGTCTTTTTCTCCTCATTATTTCGTGTGGTGTTCAATTTCGGCGGTCGTTCGAGAGAGCGAGAGAGAGAGAGAGAGAGAGGGAGAGAGAGACTCCCTTAGCCCTCTGCCCTCTGCCTCATCCCTCTGCCCTCTGCTCTCCAGAGCCTTTTAAGGGCTGGTTTGGTCTTTTTCTCCTCATTATTTCGTGTGGTGTTCAATTTCGGCGGTCGTTCGAGAGAGCGAGAGAGAGAGAGAGAGAGAGAGGGAGAAGCAAGGGACTTAGTCTCTTCCCTCCTAGGCTCTTCCCCTCTCTTCCCCAGCTATATAAGGGCCCCTTGGCCTTCTCTCCAGCTCATTCTTCATTTGGTGTTTCTGATTTTTCCGGTTCTCTTCGTTCGAGAGAGAGAGAGAGAGAGAAGCAAGGGACTTAGTCTCTTCCCTCCTAGGCTCTTCCCCTCTCTTCCCCAGCTATATAAGGGCCCCTTGGCCTTCTCTCCAGCTCATTCTTCATTTGGTGTTTCTGATTTTTCCGGTTCTCTTCGTTCGAGAGAGCGAGAGAGAGAGAAGCAAGGGACTTAGTCTCTTCCCTCCTAGGCTCTTCCCCTCTCTTCCCCAGCTATATAAGGGCCCCTTGGCCTTCTCTCCAGCTCATTCTTCATTTGGTGTTTCTGATTTTTCCGGCGCTTCGCGCCGGCGCTCGCGGGCGCGGCCTGCGGCCGCGCGCTTGGGACGACAAGGACAAAAACAAGGACGGCTAGATGACGGCAAAAATGACAACCATGGCAGACAACGACAACTAGACAAGCTACCATGGAACGGGTCTACACACGCGCGAGGGGGCCGCCTACATGCGGTCCGCCTCAAGCTCACCAAGCATTTCGCGCGTGGTCAGCCACATCTGGCGGACCACTGACGCGGTGGCGCCGACAACGTCAACAGGAGTTCCACGAATTGCTACAAGGGTCCTCAGACCCAGGGCCGTCTCAGCCAGCAGGGTGGCCGAGACTACTCCCGGCGAGGGCGCGACCTGCAGTGGCGATACGAACGAGAATAATGCTGACGCCGCCGCGTGACACCTTGCTCGCGGCATTGAGAGAACGTGCTCGGCGGGGTCTCCAACATGGAGCCATGCGACTCCTGGAGAATCAGTTCAAGACTCTGCAGGCACTCCGCCAACGACCACAAGTGCACCAGGGTCGCCGTGGGCACTGGCTTCATCTGCGGGGGGAATGCAGACGCGCGAGATCGGCGAGCCGACACTGCCAGATCACGAGGAGCAGGGAGGGGACGTGGCGGAGCGAACTGGGCCCGCGGGTCCCCGCCACCTGCGCCAACAAAGCCGGTCCCCGCAGGCAGAGGACGAACTGAGCGCGCCGGGGATCCCACAGGATTATGGGGCAGGAGCGCGGCGAGAGGAGCGACTGGAGCAGCGGGAGGAGCAGATTGCGAGGACGACCCCGCATGGGAGCGGTGGAGAGCTTTCTCCACCTCGTCCAATTTCTTCAGGACTTGCTCCATCGCGGAAGGCGCTGGACGCGCAGCCCCGCCGCGACCGTAACCCCCCCGTCGCCCACGATGCGCACGCCCACTCGCGCTCGAACGCACAGGCGACTGTGGGCGAGACAGGCCCCGCTGACGCTGGCGGTCAGGGGAACGCTCCGCGCGACGAGGAGAGTAGAGCCGCTGGCGCTTCGCAAGAGGGGAAGAACGTGGCGCCAAGGACCGATATCCAGACGCATCACGAGCAGGCGATCGCGACGGGAGGAGCGGGGAGCGGGAGAACGGTGGCGATACGAGCGGTGGTCACGGGAACGGCTCCGTGACACCTTGCGCCGAGGCAATCGAGGAGACCGCGGTGATCGCGGAGACCGCGGCGGGCGCGAGCCAGCGCGACGGTCGACGTGGCGGCTCTCCCGCCTACCGTCGTGGGCCACCGGCGAACGATGGCGAGGCGAATGCCCCCGGTGCGCCACAGCCTCTGCGCCGGAGCGCGCGACGGACCCCGCACGCGCAGGCTCCCCCAGAGGCAATGACCCGCCTCCGAGCAGACCCAGATCCCGACGCTGATCCTCAAAGCGCCGACGGATCTCGTCCGCAGCCGCCGGCGGAGCAACAGGCACGCTCGCGGCAGGACGCGCGGGAGGAAGTGGACGGGGAGCAGGATCAACCTCCACGGCGCGGTCACAGCCCAGAGCACCGAGGAAGTCCATCGGCCTCCGCTCAAGGCGCGCCACTGGCCCGAGACGAGCCGATGACTCCGATCTCCCAGGCGCAACAGGCCGCACCAGTGGCCGCCACTCCGAGGAGCGGGCGGGGAAGCACGCGGGGAAGAGGCGGGCGTCGAGGAGCACGCGGAGTACAGCGCAGCGCAGGCCACGCGGCAAGGGGGAACCCCCGCCAGCCACCGAGCCCAATTTGGTTAGGGGAGCCGGCGGAACGAGTCACGCGCCAGTCGTTCGCCAGGCGCGGGGCGAGGGGAGGAAGGACAGCGCAAGCAGGGAGAAATGGTGATACAAATGCAGAGGGGAGTGGCGACGAATATGTACCGTCGGATCTGAGGCAACCCGACAATCCCGACTCACCCCGCGCGGAGGCAGGGGCGGAGCAGGCGCAGCTGCAGGAGAGAGGATTGGGCCGCCGACAGAACCGCAGACCCCAACCCCTCCCGGACCAGGCCTTCTCAGCATCCCAGCTGGCATCGATGGACGATCTCTTTGAGATCGCGATGAGCTGGGACTTGTCTACCCTAACATCGACCTCTCACCTGCCTATCGTCCGCCGCCTGCCGCCGCAGATCCTAAGCGACTATTCCACCTGTATGCTGGCAGCGCTCCTACGGATCTCCAAGCTGCCAAACTGCGCGGGAGCTTGGCGGGTCCTCATGTTTCTGCCACGTCTGACCCTACGACTTAGCAGGAGGTCCAGCTCTAGGTGGAAGGTGCTGCGAGAACAAATGCACCTATTCAGATGTGGCCACTGGAACCAGCTGTACAGTGACTACACGGGGTCCCTGCACCAAGCCGAACCACCTCAGCACCAAAATGACCCCCTGGGAATCTGCTCACGAGTGGAGGGGCTGGTGAAACGTGGTAACCTGCGAAAAGCACTGGCAGCCCTCCAACCCTCGCCAGCGGCCCCTGCGACAACCGCGACACTACATCAGTTGGAATCGAAACATCCCCAACCCCAAATTGACCTGCCCGACTGGGTCCACTCCTACACAACACCCACACAATTTTCGTGCACCGCGGAAAACTTCTCAAACGTCCTTGGGGATTGCCCCAGCGGTGTTGGGGCTGGTCCATCAGGGTCAACATTTGAACATTATCGCGACCCAGCCCTAAGTAACATCGAAGTACTAGGGCACCTACATTCCGCCGTAACCCACCTCCTCTCGACAAACCTCTCCGCCGAGGTTGCAGCACTACTCTCGCAATCCCGCCTCATTGCATTCGCGAAACCAGGGGGGGGGGTGCGCCCTATAGCGATAGGAGAATCCCTGCTCCGGCTGGCAGCAAAGGTAGCACTCTCAGAACTGCAAGGAGAGACAAGGCGATTTTTCTTACCCCAACAATTCGGCGTGGCAGTCCCAGGCGGGGCCGAGTTCGTTATCCACGCAGTCAGAGACCTCACCACCTCACAACCATCAAGCCTAGTCCTCCAACTCGACATCGAAAACGCATTCAACTCCGTAGAGAGGATAGCGTTCTTTAACGCACTCACCAACACCCCGCTCGCCCCACTCATTCCCTTCACACGCTCCTTCTATGCGACGCCTTCACAGCTGCTGACCGATCCCCGCTTAAGCACAACGACACTCACCAGTGGTAGGGGAGTTAGGCAGGGGGACCCCCTCGGACCCCTTCTATTCGCGGCTTCAATCCAGCAGCACCTCAGACGCGTAGCAACAGAGCACCCCGAAGTAACGGTCCTAGCATACGCAGATGACATCACCCTGATTGGACCGGCGACAGCAACGCTAGACGCACTAAAAGTACTGACACCGCTGCTAGCCCAGGACGGCCTCACCTGCAACCTCCGAAAATCGTCGGCATGGTCCTCCTCGCCAATCGAAGGTAACGAGCTCCCTGAGGGCCTTCCCCTCACCCACGAGGGGGTACGGGTGCTAGGAAGCCCTGTGGGGTCACAGCGCTTCTGCGCTGACCTCGTCCGCAGTACCTTGACCGACGCGGCGGCACCCCTGGGCTCCTTAGCATGCATCCATCCACAGCATACCCTCCTACTCCTATCTCGCTGCATCAGCCGCAGAATAGGCTACCTGCTGCGCACCACTCCGGCAGACGCCCTACCTCTCTCAGAATGGCATGCGTGGTGCGCCGAACTGCTCAACACTGCCTTAACCGCCGCCAGCATCCAACCACCACGCCGTGACACAGAGTTCAACTTCCTACTGCGCCAAGCAACCCTCCCAGTAGCACTGGGTGGGCTAGGCCTCACGGACCCCACAACAGAAGCAGCACCAGCCTACCTGGCTTCGACAACAGAGGCGCTACGCCTGCTCCGCTCACTTGACCTCCCAGCAACCTCGGCGCTAGGGAGCAACAGCAACGCCCTACAGCCGTCGGCAGCACACTCGGTCACCATCCAAGACATGGAGGGACGACTGCAACCACTGGCACTGC